AAATGTTTACAGATTAGTGGAAACGTTTAAGCAAAATCCAAGTTCTGGTGGTTTAAAAGCAACGAATTCACTTACCAATCACTTAAAAAAAATCGTTTCGTCAAATCAAGCTGTCGATTTAATACTTAATAAAATGACGTTTAGAAGAAGTAGGAAAACAAAAGTACAACCAACAGCAATCAGTCAAAGAAAACATACATCTGCAGGAGCAAAAAACAAGATATCGGGTTGAGTGAGGAAGAATTTTTAAAGAAGGAACCACTCACTAATAAGCAATATTGACAGTAATGTGCTAAATGCTATAAAATAAATTTAATTTCTTAATACATTTAGTTTTTCATTTGATCAAGAGAAAACTAACATATAAAAAAAATTAAGTTATTGTATTTAAAATACTTTCTAATAATCAGACCTATTGTAAAAACAACTCAATATATAGAATAGCAGTAGCAAGAATTAACTCATTTTTTACTTGTAAACCAGACTACAAAATAATAACAAAACTATTCAACTCTGTCATTCAAAAATAATTACAATTTTATCAGCAGGTAGGATTTTATCTGCTTTTACGCCTTTGTACGCTCATGAATTCCTCCTGGACTGCAGCACACAATTCACGTATGGTTTAAAGTGACATAGAGCGGGCATGATATTCAGATTTCCTACCGTGTTTCAGTGCTATGAATGTGCTGACATACAGTAGGAAGTCATAAACCGCGACTCGGAGAGTTCGCAACGTACTTGTTTATATTTATGTATTTATTTATTTCAGTTTTAAAGAATAGTATAATAGTTGTTTTTCTGTTGCGTGTTGCAAGAATATAATATGTTTTTGTTTATTAAAGTTATGATTTTATAGAGTATTATTATTGTTTCTACTAGTGTGTTAGAAAAATATGTTTCTGTTCAACCTGTCTGACGATATTTTATTTTGCAAAACTTCACATCAGTTCTCATTGCTCATGCTCAGTGAACTACACGACTTTGTTACTAATTACAAATTCGCTATGTATTTATTTAACCAACGATTCGATATCTAATTTCATCCACACCCTCTGTTAGACAGTACCAAAACCTAACAACCGAAGCAATGCGTACGTACGATTAGTTACCGACACCAATTCCGCATCCGCATAGACGTGTATGAGGTTCACACGATGCGTGTTCTGTAGATTCGTATCACAGTAACGAAAGTAACGAGTAACGAATATTTTTATACGGGTAGTCAGATCCGAAGTAACGAATACATACGGGTATTGATTTTCTCGTTACTTTTACAGCTCTATTAATAATCAAGTTATGCAAGCGTTTATAGACTTAGGAAGTGATTGTTCATTGATTGAGAAAAATTTAGCAATTCGACTTAAAATACAAGTTAAAAACTTACAGGAAAAAGTGCGTCTTACGGGGTTCAATGGTGACGTAACCGAAGTGAATGAATATGTCGAAACTGAAGTAACTATGGAAGGGTGTAAATTAAATATTTTATTATATGTTACAGTTAATACTTTAAAAAATACTGAAATTTTAGTAGGACGTAATTTTACGGAAAATCCAAAAATTTCTTATTATCGTATTGGTAATGAATTAACTTTTAAATATTCAGATAATTTACAACTTTTTCAACTTGAAGTTAATCACGGGGACTTAAATAAAATAGATAAAATGAAATTATATAATATTATTGAAACATTTCACAGTTGTTTATATTCCTCTATGGAAAAATTGGGCAAAGCACATTCGGTAATAATGAAAATAGAGACTACTACATCCAAACCAGTTACATTTAGACCTTATAGGTTATCACAGTCAGATAAGGATATCATGAAAAAACAAGTTGGTGAGTTACTTTCCGCCAATATAATAAAAAAAAGTAGCTCAGAATATGCTAGTCCAGCTTTATTAGTAAATAAAAAAGGAGGGGATAAAAGGCTAGTTATTGATTATAGGGCTTTAAATAAAATAACAGAAAAAATTAAATTTCCACTACCAGTTATAGAAGACCTTATTGATTCACTTGGAGGCTATACATATTTTTCGACAATGGATTTAGCGTCGGGTTACCATCAAATACCATTGCACCCCGATTACACACACAAAACAGCATTTGTAACTCCAGAGGGACATTACGAATACTTAAGAGTACCCTTTGGGTTATGTAATGCCCCTGCGGAGTTTCAGAGAATGATGTCTGAAATTTTTGAACCTCTTCGAAATGTCGGTATCACTCCTTACCTGGACGATATTATTATTCCATCTAACACAGGAGGAATGTGAACTAAGTATAAAACTAATAAATGAAGAAGACTGGTTGAAAGAAGCCCAAGAACAGGATAATAATATTAAAGAAATAAAAGAAATATTATTATCTGGTGACATGCAAAACAACAAAAAAATCTTTAAAGAATTTGATTTACGTGGAAATAGAGTTTTCAGATTAACAGAAAGAGGTCGACGTTGGATGGTCCCAAAGAAATGCAGATGGTAGGTGGTAAAGCTGAATCATGATGATGTTGGTCATTTTGCGTTAGAAAAAACAGTAGAACGGATTAAACAAAGATATTGGTTCCCTAAAATGAAACATTTTGTTCGAAAGTATATCAAATCATGTCTTAACTGTTTATATCACAAATCGGCAAGAGGAAAGAAACCAGGTTATCTTCATCCTATTCCAAAGTATGCCAAACCGTTTCATACCTTACATATTGACCACCTTGGACCCTTCGTGGAAAGCAGTAAGAGAAATAGCCACCTATTAGTAGTTGTTGATGCATTTACAAAATTTGTGTTTCCCAGAGCAGTTCCGGATACTAAAGCTGTTAATGTAATAAAACAATTGTCAGAAATATTTTCTATTTTTGGCAATCCGAAAAGAATAGTAGCCGACGCTGGAACAGCTTTTACATCAAATGAATTCAATAAATTTTGTGAAAATAGAGGCATTCGGCTTCACATAACAGCAGTTGGTATGCCCAGAGGTAACGGACAAGTAGAACGAGTTAACAGATTACTATTAGATGCATTAGCCACAATGGGAGCTGACACTTCCAGCGATAATTGGGACTCAAATTTAGAAGCAATCCAACAAGGGATTAACAGTACGAAGCATAAAACAACAGAGACTACTCCCGCCGAGATAATGTTGGGTATAAATCTCAGAAGTCAGGCTGACCGATACGTAGACGAAGAAAGTGACAACCCAGATGTGACCAAGTTAAGAGAAAAAGCAGAAAGAAATTTAGAAGCAAATGAAAAATCCAGAGAAACATATTTAATAAGAAAAGAAAACCAGCAGAAACATTCGTGGTAGGAGATTTGGTTCTAGTAAGAATTTCAAGTGTTCCTTCTAACAATAGTCAAAGCAAGAAATTGTTAGAGAAGTACAAAGGGTAATTTAAAATTATAGAGGTTCTGCCTAATGACCGATATAAAGTTAAAGAAGATATCCATGCGAAGAGATCAAAAAATAATATAGCTTATGAAGGAGTATATTGTGTAGAAGACATTAAGATATTTAACCTTCGAAAATAAGAACAAGGTAAATATACAATTATTATGCTTTTGGTATAAAGGCCTCTAGCAACTTAAAATGTAGTAAAAGTTAAGATACACAAAAAGGGGCTGTAGGTATAAAGGCCTATAGCCATAGCAATTTAGAAACTGCAGGTATAAAGGCCTACAGTGATTTCAAGTTAGAAACTGCAGGTATAAAGGCCTACGGTGATATCAAGTTAGAAACTGCAAGTATAAAGGCCTACAGTGGTTTCAAAGTTATTTCAATTAGTGCTGCAGGTATTAAGGCCTCAGTGAATAACAGATTTCAAGTATCATTGCTTGGACTACTATGTTCGTATATTAGAAACCCTTAAACATCACCCATTTTATTTGTTTTAGATAGTACATATGTTCGAGGACGAACAAACCGTAGGATGGCCGTGTTAGCAACCCCGTAAGAGACGCCGCTGGAATATCTAGTACTATGACTCATTAGGCGATAAGTCGAAATCACCAGAAATTATATAAGCGTTTTATTTAGATATAGGGCATTATTGTGCGAATCATTATACAGTTTAGTCGAATATAATAAATAGTGAAGTTAAATAGTCGAGTTTAGTGTTACAACCCTCTCCTAACATGTATGATGTGTATCGATGGTTTTAATAAATACACAAATAATTAACAATTTGTTGTATATCTGCAGGCTCAGAGAAATAGGATCTTAAATTGCGAAAAACGTGTAGAAATAACACTAAGCATGAATATAAGAAAGCAAAATAAGGTTTTAGGTAGTTTTAAACTAAAAGAATAATTTGTAATTATCTCTTAGTCATATAAATAGTGGAATGGGGAATTTTACACATTTCTCACATTAAGACCATTAGTAGCCTTTATTAAACGTGAAAATGACGTCGTATTTGGTTTGTTGAATTCACGTTCTGGCCAATATGTCAAAATGTCGTCATTTTAAGGTCATGTGACGTCAATGACATTAAATGACCAAATATTGACGTGTAAATGACGTCAGCTAATTAACTGGGTCAATTTTATTGGTCATTGTATACTAACATTCCATGTACATTTTCATAAAAATATATTAAGTCGTTTTAGAGTATGAGCACAAAATCATTTCTAAAATTTTCTATCCATTATTTATAAAAACAAGTTAGCTTAAATCACTTATTTATTCGACCCCATAAACTGTGATTAAAGTTACTGTACCTATTTGTGTTATACACTGTATAAAATGAAGTACTTGGTATTTGGTATACTGGACAAATGACAAAAAAGTACCGTGTGGATTTTTAAAAATAAGCTTAAAATTTGGTTCTAAAAATAAATCCGATCGGCTATTATAAAAATTCAATCATAATTTTTGAATGTCGAAAAAATCAAATAAATGTCGAAAAAATCAAAACTCTATATCGGATTGACGTTAAATAGACATATTTGTGCTGTTTGGGTACTGTATTTTTCTATTTCTAATATTAACAAATTTTTAGGAAATGAAAGATATCCGTTCGACATAAATCTAAAATCGCACAAAATGGATAGAAGAAGGCCCGTGGATTTGAAGATGACGACAAGTTTGCCGAAACGTCATGTTCCAGTTGTGAAGGCTCAAACCAGATCAAGAGCAATATTGCACTGCAATATCTCTGAAATTGATGAACAAGAAAATGTAACGGTAAGAATTATCTAGATATAAAATAGTAATTAGTACAGCAAAATTATTGTTTTTTCACTTTATTATTTACTTCAAAGATTTGAGAAATCAAAATTACTATAAAACTTGTTATTTATTGCCATTTTTACTTTCCGATCTGTATGCAGATAAGGAAAGTATAGGAATCATGTATTTTTTCGACCTCCAGTTTTCGACGGATTTTTACGTTTTGGTGTCCCCTGAATCCGTTTTGACTATTCTTGCGACACAAAATTTTAGACTTAAGCTTTATTTCGGCCTACAGTGAGTAGAGTCGGAACATCTGGTCAATTTTATATTTTATGGAATATATCTGTTATTTACGTTTGGAGAAGAAAATACTTTAAATAAAAGTTACTAACATAATTATTATCTATAATTTATGTTCTACACAAAATTTTCCTAAAAGGGTTCGTATTCGAGAAATTTGACAAAATGTAAAAAAAATAATGTTTTATAAAAATTGTTGAAACAAAAGTTGTTTATAATATAATTCTCTATAATTTTCATTCTATACATAATTTCCTCTAAAATGGACCGTATTCGAGCAATTTGACAAAATTTTGTTTTTTTAGAAAGTTGTTTGCCATTTCGGTCTCTATAATTTTGTTTTTTACATTTTTCTAAAATGGACCGTATAGAAAAATTAAAGGAAAAATGTATATGACCGTATTTATTGGCTACCCGATTATGGCTAAGTCGAAATCATCAGTGACCTATATTTTTCATGGCCTGTACAAATTTTGAGACATGTTCACCCATAATTTAACAAAAATAATTAAATCTTATTTATTCTTTTATAAAAATATTTTACTATACTCGTATTATTTTAAAATAAAACAAAAAAAGGATAAAAGGTATTTTAGAAAAAATATATTTTATTTACAATACAATAAACAAGTGAATACAAAAATTAAGTAACAGATACAAATATAGACTTTAAATCTAAATTTAAAAAATAACATAATACCCAAAATTGTTTATTATGAAAATATTTCATGTAATCGAATTAAATTACCGGTTTTGAGCTTACATTAAATTGTAATTACATGAAACAAAATGGATTCTATGTATTTTGAGGTGATCTTTACAAAAAAAGGCAAAACAAAATGTAGCAGTTTTTCGAAAGTGCCGAAATTTTGGATTTTGTCAATTTTTCAATTTTGCGTAAGCGCATGTCGCAAATAAATCAATATTTTTAAAACGCAGTTTACGACATTTGAAAGCCTAGAAAAACTGCTAATTTTTATGTCTCGTGAGAAATTTTGATCCGATGCACCGTTCTCGCGGTATGTGCGATTGAAATTTTTTAGTGTTTTGAGGCGGCGAAGGTCGAAAAATTGAATTTGTTAAATGTTCATACACTAAATTCTTCATAACTTTGGTAAAAATTAAGATATTTAAAGAAACAAAAATTCGTTTTGAACTTAAGGGATGTGACTATTGATTCTCAGAAGGGGACAAGAGAATTCCCAAAATTGGGCATAAGGCAGAAGGGCAAAGTGTACCGCAAGCCTAATTTCATTGTTTGCCTATAACGGCCAAACTATTTAAATTTCTTTAATGCCCCTTACAGAGCTTACTCTTAAATATAAAATCTTATACGTGTGTGAATTTTAACGAAATCGGATTATAATTGGCCAAAATATCAAACAATTTAACAAATTTTTTTCCCTAAAAAAAAACTAAATTTTTTTTCGAAAGTTTGAAGTGGCACAAAAATGTCAAAAATGCACCCAATGACTCAAAACTTTTTTTTTGAATACTCTATTATGTCTAAAATACGATTACATTACGGCAAAAATATTTTATCTATTTTTTTGACCACTGTTCATTGAGTGACGACCAAAAAACACGGTTTTTGAGAAAAGTTGCCTAAAATTGACTATTTTCAGTTTTTTGGTCTGAAAATTAAGCAAACCCAAATCTCATGTCTTCTGAATGTGTATACAAAGTTTAAAGTGTGTGTTTCTTCTAAGTTGTAGAATTCTCCTGACAAAAGTCCCATTACACGCGCTCCGCGGGATCCAAAACTCGTGCATTTCTGTAATTTGATTTTTTGATTTCCAGTTTTAAATGTCATCAGAAACTTGCAGAGGGTGAACTTACCCCAATTAAATCGACAGGATTAAAAGGTCTTCAGATGGTCAGCAAAGAGAGAGGGGATGATTTTTTCAGTTCTTTAGAACTAGGTCTTATATTGCATGAGAGGTGTCGCAAACATTACGTAGCTCGAAGTTACGGAAAACAGTTTATTTATAAAACCTGGGTTAGGCATAAAAGGGCCGCGATTGACAATGCCAAAAAAAAGGAGGATGGAGCATCAACTGAGAAGAAAACCAGATGTAAGAGAACAAAAAACAAGCTTATCACCAAGTTGGAACTTACACTCAAGCTTAGGATTAATTTCCTAACATTTTTAAAGCATACCTTTTTGTATATTTTTTGTGCTCTTTCCGATGGCGCAGTTAGTTTCTTCCAATATATTTTTTGTTAGATGTTTTCGGAAAACCCGGAGAAAATCATATGGGAAAAAAAATTAAAAAAATTAACGCCTTCCGGTTTCCTGCGAATTCCCGAAAAATTATGGCAGATTTCGCCGCGGGACTTATTTTATTTGAGAGCCCACAAAAAAATACGCAACTTCTCTTGTGGGCACATATATCTAACATTAATAATTTCGCCACAAATTCATCGCACATTTCATGTTCATGATTCTGATCAAAGAAACGAAAAAACAACTTTTTGGTAAAAGCACTTCTGGCGGCGAGAAATCCGCCATTAAAACTACCTGTGCAATGAAATTCCGAACTATTTTTGCCTCCTCTTTCGATTGGTGCATTTAGTTTTACTATCAGAATGATACTTGCCCAGATAATTAGCATTTTTACCATGGAAAATTCCGGAAAACCCGGTTTTTCCTAATTTAAAAAAAATTGAAAAACAGCTACATCATTTTTTCTTTTTTTCGGAAAGATCACATCAAAATACACAATTATCACTTTGTTTCATCCAATTACAAATTAATGTAAGCTCGAAGGGGCTTTTTTTCGTTATTTAATTGGACTACATGTGATACTTTTTGTTTTTAAATCAACCCAACATATCGGATTTTGGACTAAACGTAAAAAATCGGCAAACTATAAGACATACTTGAGCAATATAATGTTTCGTTTTTCAGTTGTATTAAATTAAGTTGATGTGTTGATTTATTTGGACCACGTGCTGATACATGGCTTTCTATTTTTAAATTTTTCTTAAAATACTATTTAATTAAATGCAAGCTTAATAATTTTCGTTTATTCTGCATTTTTATTTTTTTTTTTTTAGTTTTTTAAATAATTTACAATAATACAAATAAGAGCAACCGATTTTAAATGTAAATGCACAGCTTATTAATTGCTCTAAAGAGATGGGGTTTTCACTAGTTGCTTTCGTTTATCCAAAAGTTTTTTTTTCAAGTTTGTTCACATTTTATCACATCAATACAGGGTAATCCACTAATGTTGGTCAACTTGAATGGAAAAATATGTATTATTTTAAATGGAACACCCTGTATATTTTGATGGCAATCGAAAGAGAGATTCATCTTCTTTTTAAAAATGTATAGTTTGATATCTTTTGTTTTCTTAATAACACAGATTTTCGAGTTTTTAAGAAACACTGCTGTTTTCTTTATTTAAAAACTGACATTAAATAAAATTAACAAAAAGAATTTATTCAGTAACAAAACATAACAAAAATTTAATATAAATTACAAAACAATTATTAATAATGAAGGATGTAAAAGATACAACAAATGCTGTATGTACCTATTTATACCCTCCTCTTCAATATACATGCGTAATTGAAATTTAACACACACAAAATTAACATTTGGTCTATCTATTTAAAATTCATTTAACGTACATACATCTGTTTATTTCATAGGAGAGTAAAACACTCGTAGGCAGATTTATTTGAACATAATTTGATACATAGTAAAATAAAATTCTTGCTATGACAAGTTGACAACAAAATCAACAAATTTGACAATTCATAAAAACAGAAGTAATTTAATTTACTGTCACTTACAAAATGATTTATTCAGTAACTGAAAAAGCTCAAACTGTGTTAATTTATGCAGAAACTAAATCTATCTCTCGAACTAGGAGAATATTCAGAAGAAAATTTGGTAAAAATCCCCTTTCTGTGATATATACAGGGTGTTCCATTTAAAATAATACATATTTTTTCCATTCAAGTTGACCAACATTAATGGATCACCCTGTATTGATGTGATAAAATGTGAACAAACTTAAAAAAACTTTTGGATAAACGAAATTAATTAGTGAAAACCCCATCTCTTTAGAGCAATTAATAAGCTGTGCATTTACATTTAAAATCGATCACTCTTATTTGGGACACCCTGTATATTTAGGCCTTTTGTAATGCAGTAACCAAGAGGAAAACCACTAAGGTCAAAACGTACCCGTAATTTCGAAATAACCTAAAATTGATTTTATATGATCGCCTTGATTTCATACGAACTTTTTTGACTTTTCCTTGATCCACAAGCTGCTGCATTTACATTTTTTGACGCCGAATTGATTTCGGTGATAATTTCAGAAATTAAGTATTTCGAGAGTGGCTTATTCCTTGGCAGTAACAGTTAGGTAATATTTAATACATTTGACAGCCAGTTGCAAAAACATTTATTAAAATTAGTGTGCCTGATTAATTATGGTACATGTTTAGATTGTAATATCAAAGTCGTGTCAAAAGTTATCAGGTGCAGAAATTCTAATAATCGTTCTTTCAACTGACTTTTATTATAAAAAACAAAAACCTAGATAGTTTGTAGGAATAACATTTGACATTTTTGTAAACACAAGCAGGTAGTTGTAAAAACCTTATAAAATATTGATGTTCTGTTAAACTTATACTTTGTCAAATGTTTTGTTTAAGAATCTGAAGCTCTAGAAGACCTGCAAAATGGTTAG